CCGGTTCTAGACAATGGAAGGACCGTTTACCTCCAGAACCTACCAGAACCATCTGTAGACAGGATCCACTCTGAGGAGAATCAGTTTCTAGTCAGGTCAAAGTTTAGGACTTAACTTCAAACATCCAAACCCGGACAGCTGATTTTCTGTGTAAAAGTGTTGAGACCAGATAACACGCCATCGGGATGAACCAGAACCAGAACTGAACTCTGTCAGAGGCGAATCTAAACCCACTGGTTGGATTCAGTTCTTCTATAAAACATGTGAACACCAAAGTTGTTTCTGCATTTGACAGACAGGAGACACATCCAGCAGCAGAGTGAGAACATCAGGATGTTAGAGACGACTTTCAACACTCAGAAAGTCTGGATTAACGAGTGAACTTGCTTTATGAACTAAAACCACCTCAAAGCGCTGCTGGAGCTCACCTGCTGGAGCTCACCTGCTGGAGCTCGTGTCCAATGTTCAGGGGCTCCAGTCCCCGACCCAGAGGCCGTGGGCTCGAGTCCCGCTCACGGCCCTTTGCTGCAGGCCCGTCCCCACCTTCCCGTCTCTCTCCTGACTGCTTTCAAATAATAATCAAAAAATCACCTCAAAGCTGAGTCAGACTAACTAATATAAGCCTGGATTATCTGGCAAACTGGATGTATGGAGCACAGACAACATAAAGAAAGTCAGGTTTAACTGAAATAAGCCTGGATTATGTGGTGCATTTGATTCATGTAACCCAAATCAGTCAGAGTAGCCGACATAAACCTGGATTATCTGGTCTGACAAACACACACGGAAACCCTCGGAGTGGAAGAATAAACGTGTTGCTCTTTATTTGGTTGGTGTGACTGTGATTATTTTCCGTCTCCACTGTGGAACATGTAACACTGGCCTCCTGCTGTCAACACACGCGTGCAGTCGGGTCACGTGTGAACACGCTAACAGCTGCCACACAGTCATTGCATCACTACACAGACTTTGAACACCATCATTGATCCATGAGGACCAGGAAATACAGCTGCAGGGTCAAAATAAGAAGGACCACGGAGGGGGAGGAGGCGTCCATCTTGGTCTTGTTGGACGGCGGCCATCTTGTTTTACATGTTGAGGTCCGTCAGGTACTTGACAACGCCGCACACCTTGGCGTTCACCTGCCCGCCTGACGCCTCTTTGGTGCCCTTGCCGATGACCAGAGCTGTGGAGACGAACAGCAGCTCAGAAACCAGACACACTCTGACGTGTTGACGTGAATGTGAGTTGGTGTCCTACCCGTTTTGGTCTTCCCCACACAGATGTTGTACGTTGCGCCGTCAGCGTCGGGCGCCGTCTTCATGTCCATGCAGGGAGGCGTGTCGCTCATCATGTCCCTGAGCATCCTGCACTTCACCCCGCTGATGTAGACGCCGTTCTGGAAGAAGGACGATCTGTCGCCATTCAGTTTCTTGATCTCATCCGCCTGACAGAGAGAGACAGACGAGTGTTAGCAGGACAACGCTGCGCTTTCCCAGCCGCCCTGAACTGCTCATTTGCTTTATTAATAAGAAATGTTCAGGCCTTTCTGAATGTGTTTATCTGTTCTCTGTATTCTTTTATTTATTTCAAGCCAATGTATCCCCGTTGTTGTTCATTTAATTTATTCTACTGATTGTTTAACCTCCTCACCTTTTCATTTTTTACTCCGTTCAAAACGGATTTATTTTTATTCCCTTTTAAATCTTTGTTTGATTTATGCCTTTTTAATGTTTCTATATTTCTCCTTCTCATTTGTTTGCTTGATTTTGCTGTTGTTATTTGAATCCATTATTTTATTTAATGAGTCGTTCATTTTTATTTTTATTAATTCATCAGTTTCACTTCATTTGAAAGTTTATTTGATATTATTTTAAATTCAAAAAAATGTAAGCATTTATTTTTGGTTTTCACTCGTTACTGTATCATACATTTTGTGTTTTTCATGTATTTATTTATTATATTATTATTATTATTATTGCATTTACTGACTCGTCATTCGTAATCAAGATTATTGTTTTCACTCCTTGTGAAATCAATTTATGTATATTTTTTCATTTTTGATTTTAAAAAAATCTTCTCATTTATTTTATTTACCTATTTTTATTTTTGTTTTATTAATTAATGTTCACTCTGTTCAAACTTAATTAATTTGTTTTTTGTTGTTTTTTCAAACTGTAATTTAATATTTTCCTTTGTTATAGTAATTTATTTGTTTTTCTTTTAATTGTATGTTTACATTTTCCATTATATTTTTTATTGTATTTTTATCTTCATTAAATGTTTTCAATCTTTACAAAGTGTGTTTATTAAATTTTGTATTTCCACTTTAATTTAAGTTCATATCCCTTTTAATCTTAATCTATTTATTGTCTTATTTTATGTTTATTTGTTCTTATTTATTTGTTTATGTTTTCCTTAGTTTTTGTTTTTTATAACCAACATATATTTTTTTTTATTAATTTTAAAAATAAATGAATAGTTTTTATCTAATTTTGGATCACTGTTTGTAATGCAGCTTCATTTGTGTGACTGAATCTAAGTATTTATTTATTTATTCTCTTTTTTTGTCTCCATTTTACTGTATTTTTTGTTCATGTATTTATTAGTTTGATTTTCCCACAAAACTATTTAATATTTAATTACTTCTTTGATTTTAACTTCAAATCTTATTTGAGTTTAAATAATCAATCATCATTTCAGCTCTTTCCAAAACCTATGAATTACTTCACCATCAAAGCTTTATGTCAGACAAAGAGAAAGACTCTG